GGCACCGTCGTTGTGTCGTCTTATCTGTGGCCATCTCCACACACTCTCTTGTCTTACTGGGGAATCCATGAAGGGTTAGTAATGCACTCTGCAAGCCAGGAGAACAAGGCTCTCGAGCAGTAACTGGCTGTGTGCTTCAGAGAGTGGCAGTGAGATGCTGTATCAGTGTCCATTCGTTGGTAGATAAAGGGCTCGCTGGATTACTCCCTCAGTAACTGAATTCTTGGTGATAATAGCAGGTCACAGGAGAGCAGGAACAGCATTGCACTTGTTCCGAAGGTGAGTTCTATGAAGAACTCTGCGGTCTGGTAGCTAAAGGAATTCAGGAAACACAGCATAGGAATCAGCCTGGAGCTGAGGTAATAAGCAGGTAAGGTTTTTTTCCTGATACCCTTGCTGAGTAACCACCAGTTTTGCAAACAGGGCTACAGACACGCTAGGGTGCCCTTGTGACCGTTACCGTGACGGCCTAGAGCAGGAATGGGGCCCAGGGAAGACTCCTGTCCTGAATAGCCTTCCCACCCAGGTGTCCGAGCTCCCACAGCATAAATGGGGACAGCTGAGAATTCTTTGGCTCACCAGTTATTTCCAGAAAATGGTCCCATGTGTCATTATGGACAGCTTGCCTCTGTTTCTGCACCAGGTTGGGGTTTTAATTGTTGAAGGTGCCCAGTGGGACAGGTGTCGAGTGCAGCACCGTCCCTGTCTGACAGAGAGCGGAGGGAGAGGGAGGTGGAGGTGAGCTTGGAATTCCTCAAGGCGCTAAAGACGAAGTGCTTGGAGCACCCCGGCAGGCATCCCACCTACTCCCGAGCACCCTACTGCGGACAGAGATCTTACGGAGAGTGGAGGTGGGTCGGAACAGCCAAGGAGACGAGCTCAAGGCCCTGGAGTCAGCCTTGGCCTTGCGGGCATCTGGAGGAGGCCTTATACCTCCCTCGGGAGGACAGCCAGCCTGCTGTCTTTCAGGCTGGACCCTGATGTAATCAGAGCAAGGTCGGAGCGGGCTGGCCTTCCTTGCTGGCTGGATTCCAGACTGACGCTCACGACCCTATGCCAGGCCTGCCGGGTCCTCGGCACGCTGTTGTTCCTCCCGGCTCTCGGCCTTTTAGGTGCCGGGTGGGTGACGTCTGGGCAAGCCTTGCTGGCACGTGTGGAATCACGCTGTTCTCCTTACTCACCTCACTTAAACTGTTAGCAGACACCCTCGGGAAGGGCTGAGAGGGACCCCTCAGGGCTGCTGGCCGCGAGATTTGTCTGCCAGTGGGTTCTGTTTATATGTCCTAGGCCTGGGCAGCTTTGCCATGGCTGGTGATTCGCTTTTAAATGGGCCTTTGTTGAACTTAACACTCCAGGGCCTCCCTGACATTCTTCCGTCTCTTGCACAAAAACAGCTATTCCAAAAATAGCAATCCCCAGAATTCTAGACCATTTTTTTTAAAACTTCATAATCTGTAGGCTCGAGCCCAATACCGTATAGGCTAGTTGAAAGAGAGGTATCCACTTCTGTTGTTAGGAAGGTTAGATAACTTCTGAAACACCTTGACAGGGTCTCAAGGTCGCAGCGTCGTGCCTTGCACTGGTGCTGTTAGGAGTGATGACAGGGAGAGGCTGGTGCAGGCTTGGGCTTGGAGGTAATACGTATATCAAGGTACTTTATATTATAGCACACATTACTCAAAGATGGAAAACTATCTTTTATAATTATTTTGTACTTCAAAAGAATTACTATATTCCTCTGTAATAACTTGAAATTAAAGTTTATTGTTTGGTTCTTTATGCTGGTCTGTTGAATTTGGTTGAGAGTGCCCTGGCCATGTCTTGCCTCTTGCCTCCATTTCTTTCCTGGCCCCAGAGTAAAGGGAGAACCAGACTTCAGGCCACACAAGTCACTCTGTAAGAGATGACAGTAGACGCTCCCTGAGAAGCCCTGGCCACCAAGGGTGAGGCACACTGGGTTTGACTCTTTACTGAGTGATGTCCATCCCAGAAGTTGTGTTCACAGTGCACCGGGCAGCACCTGGCATGGAAGCTCTCAGGTGTTCTGGTCCCTGCCCTGTTATTCTTTAATGTGCACTGGGCACATGCCAGGTGCTGGGGATGTCAAGATGACAAGTGCACCGCCCAGCCTCAGGGCACTGGTCTGGGAGAAGCATACACACGACAGCTCAGGATGGCCTGGGTCTGGGGTAATCAGAGGGGATGAGCATCAAGAGAGGAGAAGACAGTGCGATGTGTGTTCCCATGTGACTGGGACCCTGCCGGCCTCACCTGCAAGAGTAGTCAGAGTAGATCCCGAAACGTGACAGCGAGCAGGACATGCAGACTTCACACGTGCAGTGCTTGGGCAGACCCTCTAGTGACTGTTTCCGTACAGTGCCCATGCTGGTCAGGGTTGCCAACCAAGACGTTCTTTTGCAAGTTATATGTACTTCCTAGAGGCCAAAGTGAACTAGTGATCCAGTAGTTCCTATAAGCAGGGCTCTCTCATCTGACTCAGACAAATAGCCATCTTTCACTTTTCTTCATCCCCAAAACTCCTTGTGTATCCCTCTGAAGTATATATAACACTCAGACGCTAGTCCTGCCTACTTGGAGATGGTCTCAGGGAAGCAGAGCTAGAGGCCTGACTCCAGCCCTGTGGCCCCCTCACCTCTGGACTGCAGGAGCAAGTGAAGAATACGAGATGGCTCACAACGGAACACTCCTTGAACACAGCCAGCTCACAGACTCTTGTTGATTGGCGTCCGTAGCCAGGTTTGCAAGATGTTTATCATCAAACCCCTTTCTTCAACTACAATCTGAATTCCTGATCCACAGGGGCTGCCCTTATGGTCGGGGTGAAGGAGTGGCAAGGACAGAGGCAGGTCCTCCACATACCGGCTATCAAAATAGTCGGTCCAGGAAACTCATCTTCCTCAAAGATGAGTAACCAAAACACACAAACCAGTGAATAAAATGAACAAGAAAACCAGGTAGTTAACAAAGAATGTTGTTGTTAGGTGCCACTGAGTCCACTCCGACTCAGCGACCTTATGTACAACAGAATGAAATAACGCGTGGTTCTGTGCCAGTCTCAATCCTTGCTATACCTGAGCCCATCACTCCTGCCACTGTCAATCCATCTCTTTGAGGGCCTTCCCCTTCTTTGCTGACTCTCTACTTTACCAAGCGTGATATCCTTCTCCAGGGAACGGTCCCTTCTGACCACTTGACCAAAGCTGGTGAGAAAAAGTCTAGCCATTCTTGCTTCCAAGGAGCATTCCAGCTGCACTTCTTCCTGGACAAGTTTGTTGACAACGTCACTAGAGAAGTGATGATACGGTATGAAAGTTGTAACCAAATACTTTACTCTGACCAGAAGATGGTGTTGATTCATGGCTTTCTCATCTGTAAACTATAACAAAAGTGATAAGTGAAGTGGGCAGCTCTGTGGGTGGTGCTAACGACCCAGTGCTTCCCTCAAGCAGAAAGGTTGGTGGTTCAAGCCTGCGTAGAGGTGCCTTGGAAGACAGGCCTGGCGATCAGCTTCCACAAAGTCATGGCCTTGAGCCCCAGGTGCACAGTCCTACTCTGACACATGGAGTCACCATGCATTGGAATCTACTGAGGGGCAACTAACAAGAACAGCAGATCAAGGAGCAGGTGTGTAAGTGTTATTTTACCAAGTTAAACACAAGTGTAGAAAAAGGGAAAACATCAGTTTCATCATTGCTCATAGTATGCATTGTTGGCAATGTCTAAAGAGATTGAGGATTAAAGGCAGAATGAAATTATCCCAGTAGAACAAAAATAGAAACTTTCCAAATTGTCAGAAGGAACACACATAAAACAAATCAAATATCACTCACCGGTGATTTTTTTAAAAAAAGGTTTAAACAGAAAGCATAACATTTCTTCAAAGAAAAATCCTGGTAGATGGGATCATAGAGCAAAACCTAGTTCTGTGCTGCTTACCCCTACTCGGTGCCTGAGTGTGGACCATACAGAGACGGCGATGGTGCAAGGAGGTAAACGCAGAGGAGGGGGGCAGGTGTCCCAGGCAAACAAGGTTGCATCCAGGCCAACACTGTTAGGCAAGTCAAAGAGACACATTTTGAATGACACAGCGGCCATGTCTCAATGAAGATACAGCCATTAGGAATATGAAACAAAGACCAGAGCAGCAACGTTCAAAAGAGAAAAGTCCTAAGAGTTGCAAGGACAGTAGTAGAAGGCTTCATTTCATGACGGCTGAAATAAGGTAAGGAGAGCTTATAGGTAAATATCACAAATAGTAAGGAAAGGCCTGCAACAGGACACCAGGCCTGAAACAGTGTGCCTCCTTCTCAAGGAGCCAGGGGACATGCACTGGGGCTGATCAGACGTTAGACCAGAGAGGAAACACCACCCAAGGCTGAGATGCAACCCATCAAAACACTGGACCTGTGGTCACCCCTGGATCCCCACTGTAACCTTATAGAGTGTGTTATTACCAGAGCCATTGGGCAGATGAGAAACTGAGGCACTGAATGTTTGCCTCAGCTGCATCCAGGTCACAGAACCAGGGGGTGGGGGTGGGGGGGCTGCCGAGCTGGAGTTTGAGCCCAGGAAGTCTACGCCCTATCTGCGCCCTAACCACTAAGCCAGGGACTGTCCA